TCTTCTGGATGGTGGCTTTCGTAGATCTCCAGGTTTCTGTCCCATACAGTAGAACTGTCTTGACATTTGTATTAAAAATCCTGACTTTGGTGTTGGTTGACAGTTGTTTTTAGTTCCAGATGTTCTTCAGTTGTAAATATACTGCTCTTGCTTTACCGATCAGCGCCTTCACATCTGCATCAGATCCACCCTGTTCATCAATGATGCTGCCCAAATATGTGGAGGTTTTTACATCTTCCAAATCTTCTCCGTCAATTGTGATTGGATTGGTGCATGCTGTGTTGTTTATCATATAAAAAATACTCAATAAAGGGTGAAGTTGGAAATTGAATTGCTTCGTAGTTAGTTTAAGGGATTAAGATTTTAAAATACATTCCAAACCCTTCAGTATATAGTTGAGAGTTGAATGGTTACATTGGTTAGCTAATAAATTATTGGAAAAATAAAGTAAACTCCTCTCATCTAGTCACTTAATATCGTTAATCAAACAGTATGACATCAGTTATGGTATTGTTTACCCTATACATATACTCATTTGCTGCTAAAAGCGCTATATTCATAAATAATTTACATTCAATAGTTGAGTTCATGAGTCAATTGAAGCTAGAGCACCATGGAAAACCTGGAAGCAGTGGACGGCCGTTTCGTCTTCATATGAGACTCCTCAGCAGCGTGCATACACGATCCCACCTCGTGAGATTCGAACCCAGGATCTATCAGTCTAGATTCAGTTGACTCATGAATTGAACTATTAAATTACTATAATATCCACAAAAACTCTTCTCTGATTATAATCTAACATTCATTTATTTTATCAAAGTATAATTTTTTTTATTAGGATCATGAACCGATTGATGTTAGTCCAGCGTTGGAATCCTGGAAGCACTAATCTCCACAACCCCTACACTGATAATCTTTTTCTTTCCCTTAAGATATGATATTTCTAAAATCGGATATCTACAATAAAAGTCATGACAACCATAATTTTTACAGTTTATATATATGGGTAGTTTTTTGAGAGTAACATTGTATACTTCATTTGACAGATGATTAAGTTTGTGCTTGTTTTGATGAATTGCTTGATCGTATCTAATGAGTCATACATTGTCCCAATTTTACATGCTTTCTATGTAATTCTAAACAAGGAAGCAAATCTAAAACGTTATTATTATTAAGTGACACAAAAATAATTAATTGTTACCCTGTAATCTACAAAACAAACATGTTTTACAACCATTAAAATTAGGATAATTTCGATCGGTAATGGCTATCCTACTTTTTAGATAACCTGCTCTTGTGGAGCTAGGTATATAGGTCGTTCGATGCGTACTTTATCCAAAAGAATTCAAGAACATTGTCCGGCGTGGCTAAGAAGAGGAGGCAGCGGCTCAATAAGAAGTTCTATAATCGAACACCTTGTGAACACAGGTCACTCAATCAAGACAGACTCTGCGTTCAAAGTCATCTACAAGGTAAGTAGAAGCCTTCCTAAGACAATTAGACTACATCTTCTTTGCATTGCCGAGGCAATAGCCATACATTTTGAAAAACCAGAATTATGTGTACAAAAGAGACTGGTACAACCTCTTCTTTTACCATGGTCTTAATGTATTAAAATTTTTCTCTTTCTCATTACTCTTGTTCTTTTACAGCCACCTGCTTCACCTTCCATCTTCCCTTCAAATCTTGTACCCTCAACCGGTTTGTTTTTATTTCAACGATCATTCCGATCACATTTCATCTCTGTTTCAACATTTTATGTTATTTTATCATGCTGAGCTACTCTTACCCGATGAATATCTAAGCCATTAACTATCAAACTTTCCTTGTTTTTAAAAAAATTTTCTAATACCTTTGTTTATTTAACCTAAAAATAATATTGATGAGTTTAAAATGAATCGCAGAACTCTTCGCTGAACTATAACAAACTATTGACCGATTAAAGAAGTTTCAAAGATTAAATAAACAGATATCTGACTCAGATGACCAACCATCCAGCACAAAGTAGAATGTTGTATCGATTGTCAAACATAGAAATGCAATCGCATGATCCTTGATTAGCATTTCTCAAGTCTAGTCCATCAATTACTGAATAGTATGGTTTAAAATTGACTGTATAGATTTATCCTTCAGATCCTAAGTTTTTAAATTCCTCACAATGTTTTTCTGTTATTTCACTCATTTATATTTTCATCTCCAATAGTATATTTGATGTCTATCTTTTCCATTCCTATTAATCCTGTTGCTATATCAAATACTCTGAGGTTTGCCCTAACAATTTCATCTCTCTATAGTAATGAGATATGACAACTTGAACCGGTGTATGTTGAGTTGACTGACTGATTATTGGTTAGTCAGATGCATTTGCTTATCAGTTTGTCACTGATATACAATATTTTAATATTTTAGACTAATTTGTCAAGTTTATTTTACTGGGTTTCTTTTTGTTTGTTTTCTGTTTTAAGGTGTGTAAAAGAAAGAAATGTTATAGATGGTAACCAATAAGATTCTGAGAGAATCGGGTGTTGTATGGATGACTAGTTGAAGTTAATCTTTATGTTTTGCAATAGACAGTCACAAAATTTAACCTTTATAAGGTCACCAATGTATGAAGTCAAAGAAATGCTGTTTAACATATGTGACCTGATTTATGAAACTTTAATTCCAAGTATTTGCAACTATTCCTAAGTTTTTGATAAACATTTGAAATATAAGTAAAATGACCATCAAAATTTCCTATTTCAATCAATTGGTCATTTAGCGTGACGAGCAACTAATCCACTTGGTGACAAATGTTTCACTCCTGACATATAGGAACTTCACCACTTAAGGATTACCAGCAGAACCTCCGGAATTCATTTTGAATTAAGCCACTTGCGAGCTGATGATTATATAGTTTGTGGTGCAGAAGTTCGATTTGAAGATGGTATTTTTATAATAAATAAGTGCGTATTGACGATGATTCCCAATACCAACTGTTCAGTGCTTCTTGATTTTCAATGGAATATCAAATGGAAATAACCTTTTTAAAACCACTACATTAAAAAAGTGGGAGGGAACTAAAAAACTTTTTAGCTGGGAGAGAAATAAGAACATCAGAGTAGAACTTTGTCTATTTACGAATGCAATCGAAATAGGACAGTAATCCAGTAAAACTATTTGAATTGGTGGTTAGTACTTGTGACAATAATTGTGAATTGATATCAGCTACAGTGCAATCCTTTGCCACACTTCTATCTACAAACTTCAGAAATTTAAGGTTGACATTTAGAGTAAGAGTTGAGGTGAGAGAATAGGATCTAGCCTTACTAAACACTCTTCATTACTCATTTAATCACATTAAGCACGTTAACACACAATCTGTCTTACGTGCAGCTATGTTTTGTAATTTCAGTAAAGCATAAGTTAAAATCAACTTCGCCTGGAGTCTCTCCGGGGGCTACTGCCGGTCTCAAGCCCGGATAAAGGAGGAGGGTTGGGCATGGGGTTAGCGACCACATCCAGTAGAAAACTAACTCGCTAAAAAAACGCTAACCAGAAATTATAATTTAAAATCCACTTTTTGGTTGCATAATAGATATTTCTACTGGTTTCGAGCATTTTAATAACCAAATATTGACAATTTTCACTTAGTTATTGATTACATACAGATCATCCATCAGTGTATTTTAAATTTCGCGCAAAACGAGTGAAGCATTATCCTAATTCTCATTAGTTAACAGAAGGTCGTCAGTATACCATACTTTTACCGTTGAAACAGCAGTTTTGTTATATAAGTGAAAAAATGAACGACTAATTCATAAACAAATTGAATAGTATGGAAACATTAGATAGGTGGGATGACCTGAAAATCGAATTGTCTCTTTCTCATCTATTAACTGGTAAGGTTGTTTAAACTACCAAATAGATTTTGATAAAGTCTGGAGACAGTTTGACACCTATGTTTATTAATAACTAGCAAGGAATACCTGTAATCTTTCTAGAACTGTTGAATTTACACTCACATAACCCAGCTTCCCAACAGGTCAAGTTACCTGGACTAGTGATAATATTGCAAATGATCAATAAAATCAGTCAGTTTTAAGGGCGAGTCAAAGATAAGGCCTGTTCATGCCTACTAACTAATGTCAAGTAGATCAAATGGCAAATCTTATTTAGTGAATAGAGAAACGGTTTTCAAGACTAATGGATACAATAAGTAATAGCAATCATAATTGTTTGGCCTACATTTACAGACACACAATTTGTGTTTTCTTTCCTTTTTCCCCTACTTGATTTAATTTAATAATACTGAGTAATCACAATAATCAGCCTCCATCTAGGTCACATTGGATTCAGGTGAATGTTATCTTCTGATGTACCCCTATAATTATTTTTTATTACGCCAGTTCTAATTTAATACTTTTTATATTTTATCCACATTATTTATGGTATATCCTTTCTCTTTTGTTTATTACCTACTTTGAACTACACAAACACCCTTTATATTTATAACCACGCATTTCATCCTGTAATTTGTTAGCCATAACAGTTCAATTGTTTTGAAGAAATATTTCTATTTACATAGTACACAACCTGGTTAGAAATTAACGACAATACATAATTGTTACCTCTTACTTATTGTAATAGGAATAATTAAATTTATTTAGGCGCTTGACCTGAACAAAAAATGTTTATTCAAGTTAACCATTATTCAGTGTACATGTTTATTTTGACTAACTTTTCACATGTAGTAGTGACCTTGAAAAAAATTTGAACAATATGATTCATGAAGTGAGGTTATGGGATTTAGGGAACGATACTTCTGAATGAAAGTCATGCCGATTTATACATTTGATAAACTGACTCATTTATTCTGTTAGACCATTGGTTAATATTACTTTAAGATGATTGGTTAAAATTATATTCAAATAAAAAATCGATTTACTAGAGTTACCCTCTACTGAAACTATAATTCTGATTGGTTATCTAATTTAAATGTATTCCAAATCTAGAAGAGCAATCATTTTACGGCTGTTGATGAAGTAGTTGTGGGATTTTATCATCCTTGTAATGACCATGTCGTTTATGATGGTATATTGAGGTTAGTCGTTGTTGTTTTTTGTTTATGTAGGATTTTAAATGCTGATAGTCAAAAAACGAACTAACTGTCAGTAGTGAAAGTTATGCATTAATTCCTCTTTTCGTTATTTTGTAGATAACTAGATATCAGTATAGGGGTTGTGGAGAGTATTAAGTTTTTGATTGAGATCATGAAGCGGTGCGCACTTCTAAGGAGTCCCAGAATAGGACAAAACGGCCGTCCAGTGCTTTCAGGTTTCCAACGGTGGTCTAACATCAATCGGTTCATGATTTCAATCAATAACTAAATATGTATATTTTTCTCTGTATTCTGTTTGTCTTAGCACTTAGTAGTGTTATCAGTATCCCCGTAAACATTCGAAGTAATGACTATCGCTTGTATTAATAGAGGGATTAAGGTATGACGTGTCTGAAGTTTCTGATTAATGATAAGTCATACTTCAATGTTAACAATGAAAAAATAAGCAACAAAATGATGAAATGTACTTTAATAAAATACCAGACTGCATTTTGTAAATGCAATGTGTGACTCATGTTTTCTATTCTTGGGAAGTATTTTTTTTCGTAGTTTTAGTGTGCCATGTAATGTACGTTTTGTGTTTTCGTAAGTGCCTATTAAGTATAGTATACGAACAAGCTTATTTGTAATGATTAGCAATCACTATTGTAAGTCCTCTTCTCGATATCCTTATGTTACCTTAGAACAAGCGCTTGTTATTTCGTTTAAGTGAGCAGAACTGAACTGATATCATCAAAGTTTCCTACCTGTTTGACTATTATATGTTAATCTCACAGGTATTACAGTCACCTACTTGTTATTTGGTGCAGATTATTCTTTGTTATGAGGTAGTGTCAAACATCTTATCATATGAAATATGTTTAATCTTTGTACAGATGAATGACATTTTTTTAAAAGTACTCAAACATATCACCCATTAAAAAGATTTTAAAATGGGTTCAGGAACTTGTGCAAGGTTATATCCATATTTTTTTATCTAGGGGAGATTTATCTTGGTAAAGTAGTGCTTTACGTAGAGTTAAAATGAACTTTGCACCCGAATGCACAGAATATAATTAGTTGTCAAGTTAGTATTACACTGTCTTAAATAATTAATTTGAAAAATTACGATTAAATGAAAAATTTAACTTGGTTATTGGTTCAAATTTGTAATTTCGTAGCTACAGATTCAGCTGGAGTTCCTTAGTTAGGCTAAGATGACAAGTTTGTTCAGGTAGTGAATCAGCTGAAGTGATTGGTACATATATTACGTATACCCAACCACCACTTATCTCTATGGGCAACGTTGTCTGGTTTAATGGTAAGCTAGAAGAACTCTGGAGGTTGCAAAACCAGGACGTGGTATCTGTCCACGAAGTCACTAACAATTGGATTGAGTTATATAGGTAGGTGCAAATTACTTGGTTAGTGTCTCGATATATATCGTAACAAGTGGTTAGAAACTGCCCAACATGATTCAAAATCGTTTACAACAGTACAGATGCATTCACTATTTGTCTTTTCCCATATTTTAGGTTTCTAAATTATCTTGTAGTCTTTTTATCCCATGGACCTATATTTTCCTTCCACTCATGCTTTCTATGATTATTCTTTTTTATTACCACTAATAATGTTACTATTTGTACTATGAAATCTCGCTGTACAGGTGTAGTGTGATAACATGAACCGATTCACGTATGTGCCAGTTTCTTTACAAATGGGTGACTGACTGACTTACTTAAACTTATATTAAGACGAATTCATTTCTTCTGAAGGCATTAATCCCATCCCAACTCACTGTTTCGTGGTATTTTTGCTTTATTTTTTTAAAATATTATTGTCAACTGACAGTGTGATGAAAGTTACTGTAAATTTCCATTCAACAGACTGTCATGCATTTTACTGATCTTCTAATCATAACTAATCCCTCTCTTCGTGTTTGGTTCCGTTAATCGATTTGTGTGTCACTAACAAAAATGCACTTGAACGATTATTCAGAGACCTTCCAATCGTGAGGTTACATGTTGTTTGTCAGTGAATGAGCTAAGTAAAACTCATCATTTCCATCCTTTTTTAAATGTAGCCTATTTAATCGACATTTTCTGTTTTCGGCAATAATGATTCGACCGTTGACTGAATATGTATTAGATTTTTCTATTAATTATCACTACATACATTTTGCTCTCTTATTTTTAAGGTCGTTTGTCATAATGGGCTACTTATAAGTATCTTGTTTTTATCATAGGAACAGCTGTCGTTTTATTTTTTGCTAAGAGATACTGTTAATTTTTAGTCACATTTTTGAAAAGATTATAACTAAATATTACATCACGGAAACCGTGTTGATAAAACTAACTCCTTCTTTGACAGCTTTCGGATCTAATTTAAAAATATCTCACAAACTACAGTATTTGCCTTTTTAAATGTCTTATAAATTTATTCAACGGAAGTGTATGATGTCATTAGTCTGTTATATTGAAGAAAAAGCCACTAGACATCATACATTATATTTCGTTTAACTTAGTTATATAGTGGGTTGTATGAAATCCTTAAATACAAAAGTCTAAATGGTATAGTTTTTCATGTTGATAATAAATATATAGTCAGTCACCAATAACTTAAGACTTAACATAAATGTGTGTCGGTCTAAGTTGTTCCATCTCATATCACCATAGCGAGAACGAAAGGAGCAAGTCAATACTAAAAAATTGTTAAAATAATAGGACCTGGTTAGAGTTACCTCGATAAATTATAGAAATTAGCACTCTCACTCTTTACTCTGTCACTAACTAGTAGGTTACATACCATGGGAAAATAAAACCCAGACAACTGTTTTCACTTTCGTTTGGTAGAAAACTGAGACAAGTTGAAATTTTAGACTTTTGTGATTGGTCGATGAGTATATTGATTCCGAATCATTATCGAAGCTGTACAATCACAAATGCATAATGTTTTTGTTGGAATGTTGGTAAATTGTCGAACATAGTAGTAAAGAAAACAAAGAAAATACAAGGGTTTATCCTTCTGAATAGATTGAAAACGGGATAGTTATTTTGCTTGACTAATTTATCAAGAACGCCTTATTAAGTAGAGAAAGAATAAAAATCATGAAAGTGGCTTGCATAACATTAGATAGATTGAAAAGTAATGTGTGATCAGAAAAAAATACGGAAACAGGAATAAGTCGATTTGAGTTAAACAGAATGGTGGAAGGATGGGTGTGAATTCTCAAAACCAGAAATTGCAATTATGGTAGGGGGAGGTTGAATATCTACTGAACGTATACTTTAATACTTAATTCAAGATTATTTCTATTCATATAAAAGGCTTCAGTAATTCAAATGATAGGAACGTAAATTTCTGTTTACGTTTTAGCCGACTTTGATGATTCTTTATTTATTGAATAACCGGTATAGATAAGATGTGCGTCCATTGTTGGTTCTTTTAACCATTGATAATCTTAAGTGTTTTTTTATAAAAGTCTCATCAAACGATCTATGTAGCAATTCCCTTGTGCACCAGCGATCTGATACGTGCACACTGAAGTGCGAGGGGTTACTCTTGGGATTGGTAACGAACAAGGACTGACCAAAAATACGTTATAGTTAATTCAGAGAAATCTCTTTAGAAGAGTTTAAAATTGTCTACAGCAGCATTACCTTCCAGGCCAAATTTCTTGTGAAGCATTCTTTTTAAACAAAGTAGTAAATAATTCCCTGAGATTAGATTTTAAATTTCTATTGTTGTTATAGGGATTACTTAGTTTGAAGTTTTACGTCATAGACTGACTTTAGTTAGGTCACTGAGAATGGACACTGAACAGTGGTTTCATCCTAATAAGGGACCTACCATCAGTATGCATTTACAACGTCACTAAGGCTCGAACCCATAACATTCAGTTTCACAGCGACCTCTTGACCTTCAAACCACTAAGTTGACGTCCAGTGGTTTACATTTATAACCCTACATAATTCGTGATATTGCACAATCACCATCAGTAACCACTGGTGATATTAATCAGGAGTTAGACATGTCTGAACTCTACTGATCACGACTTATCGCTAGGACTATCGGAATCATCTTTCAAAGTTAGTTGCTAGTAAGTACATGTATATTGCTATTGTAAGGTGTTTTGGATTTCAATTGTTGGGTAACCACAGTTAATACATCATAACTTTATATTTTCCTACATGATTCCCGATGAATACCATTTTTAAATTAGAATATTTATTTTTCCTTTTGCAGATTAGGAACTAAGTTCGTCTAATTTACCTAAATAGATATGCAAATAAGTAAACAATCGAAACCTAGGTATAGAAACTTATCAGCTGGGTTTTTATATAGACTTTTGGCAAGCAGATATTTTTAGCGTGCCATCGTGCATTGTCAGTTCTGGAGATACCTGAAAAGGAAATTGGGTTAAAGGTGGTCTTAGTGACCTGAGAGCGTGACCACAGTGCCCAAGGAACAGCTGCTTGAGGTCCGTTACATACGACCTTTTGGTGGGTAATTTTCGTGTTAGTCCCGTACTTGTTGAGACCTTACCTCCGGAGATGGATATCCGTGGGATAAGGCGAGGTGTGAATTCATAGGATCGACCTTTTCTAGCCCCTCCTTGTGGGAAGGCAGCATCGCTGTTATGCTGGTTGTCCAAAGTAAATACCTTACTTCTGTCACACCTCTGTACAGTCAACAGTACGATTTCGCTTTCGGACCTTGGGTTTGTTGCTTTTATTCTTACCGCTCTTCAATCGACCTGTCTAGCATGGTAGGACCCTGAGGAACAACTGTTCTACCCAGTATGGCTCTATTGGTTCATCACGATAGGCAATCCCGAGCACCACGTCAAGGTAGCAACAACGGTCGAGATCGTACATCGTAAAGAAACTAAACGTTTGTTTCATTTTCCATCCCAGTAGTAAGCTTATTTACTCAACTAGTTTTGAACACTTGCAAGGATCGTTCGTTTCAAGCAAAAAGTTGATGTTCAAATGTTTATATTA